TCATTTATCATATCAAATAGAACTGTTGATTTTTTTTTTTTTGATCCAGAGTATCTATTGTATTTTAAATATTATACTGTAAGATTCATGGATTTTTAATTCAGAATCCGTATTGGAGATTTTTCGTTTCTTGATGGATGCGATTTTGGCAAGTTTCAAATCTTGCCAGAACTAGACGGACTAACCATTGATGATTTCAGTTTTTTCATTTATAATACTAGTTGTTTAACTTTTTTAATTTTTAGTTAAGCTCCACCAAAGTTTCTTTGTGATATTAAGATTTTGGGCTCTGGTTACTCTATACTTTTGTTACTTATTTTGCTCATGTTTCCTTTTCTACATCATCACCCGTGACCTAAACCTATCTCTTCCACTAGTGATCATTTGATTGTCGGCACTCCGTTTGGTTTGCCAAGTTTTACAATAGAAAGAAATAGATCTAATTAAGTTATAGTATCACTACCATGTCCATTATATCAACATGTAAAACAAACTAAGCAAAGTCTTTCGTATCCACATTTGCTTTGGTGCGAAACTTGGGCAATAACATATCCGTAGAGTTAGACAAAACTCATCATTTTCGTCATCCACATTCGTGTTGGGAACAAGGTTCATCTTTGTCGACATGCAAGTGCCAACATATGTTTCCATGTTCGTAGTTTGCCTAATCTTTTGAAAATAATTTATCCTCACTTGTGCTAGAAATATTAGTAACAATTGTTTAACATTACTTGGAGATCTCATGGGTCGTTGTATCTACTAGTTGTAACCATTTGCAAAAACCATGATTAGAAAGCCAATTCAACACTTTTTTGTTATTCATTTAATCTTTTTAAATAATCAATGCGATATACTTGCTTTGAAGAAATTAGTATAAAAAGTTTAATCAATAAATCGAGCTTAAATTAGAATACGGTTAACTACATTTGAATATGATTTCCCAAAAGTTTGTAATGAGAAAATAAAACCAGAACACAAGATGAGATTGATACAAAGTTCCAAACCTGAAACTTGAAAACGCAGGCAATGAGAAAAGAAAAAGCAATGTAGAGATCAATAAGATTAAAAGGAAATATGAATAAAAACATAAAACCAAATTAAATGTCTAAAAAATAGCAAACTATAAATAAATAAGAATAACAATCACAGGTCGCAGGAATAAGAAAGCATCCAGGAGAAACAAATAGACACAAAATCCTTCCCTAAAAAATGACACCACACCTCAACCTATCAGAAACCCAGTTCTGGGAGGAGCGGCAGCAGCAAGAAGGAGATTACTTAAAACTACTAGCCCCGCCAGCATCAAAACAGAGAACTAAACTATCTACCAGACATCTGAGAAGAACCAAGCCTTTATTATACTTCATACACTGGCACCCTATTGCTGAAACCACCAGTATATTTCACTTCTTCTTGGCAGCAGATTTTGTCACCTTAGCCAGCACCGGAAGGATCCTTCTTCTCCACATTCTTGATGACACCAACAGCAACAGTCTGTCGCATGTCCCTCACGGAAAAACGACCAAGAGGAGGATACTCAGAGAAGGTCTCCACAACCATGGGCTTGGTCGGGATCATCTTGACAAAACCTGCATCTCCATTCTTCAAGAATTTGGGCTCCTTATCAAGCTCCTTACCTGATCGCCTATAAATCTTGGTGAGAATCTCTGCAAATTTCTCAGTAATGTGAGAGGTGTGGCAGTCGAGCACTGGGGCATAGCCATTCCCAATCTGCCCAGGGTGGTTCACGATGATAACCTGGGAAGTGAAGTTGGCTGCCTCCTTAGCGGGATCATCCTTGGAGTTGGAGGCAACAAACCCACGTTTCAGATCCTTCACAACAACGTTCTTCACGTTGAACCCAACATTGTCACCGGTGTTAAATTTAATAATTTTTTATTTGTTTAGTTTCAACATTGCAACGTGTATGCATGGATTTCAAGCTTTTTAATTTTATCGTTTGATTTGATGTAATCTGTTTCTATTATTGCAT